TCTCTGACATCCGGTGAATTGTCACCTATTTTATTTTTAAGAAGTAACGAAGGAATCATGCAGCCAACTATAGATGTGCGCTCGTAAACTACACTCTCGTATAATAGCTTGCAAACCATACAAGAGATGTTTTCACCTGACGTCCGTTGACAAGAAAATTCGAACTTGAATCAATTGACACATGTTCAGTTGCAGCTTATGATATTTGAAATAATTCCAAATGGTTGAAGATTTTAGCTCTTCTTCATTCCAAATCAATTTAAATCCATAGATTTCATATCACTCAATCCAAACACGATTTCTATCAAGTATAATATTTTTTTCAAAAAAAACAAATAAATAAATAATTACCTTAGGTAAATCTAAATTAAAGTTTGGATTTGCAGAAAAAAAAAAAAGATTCGTTAAGCCCAAATTTCTACAGATTGCGAAACATTAATATAAGGCCCAACACCGAGAGAGCCCAATCAAATAAATTACTACTGTTGAAATTAAATTGGGAAATTTACAGTTTCCACCTCTCAAGTTTGAAATGATTACACATTTGGTCCCCTATGTTCACAAAAAACACATTTTTGTCCCTCATATTTTAATAATTTACATTTTTGTCATTTTCGTCAATTTACCGTTAGTCTGTTAGCTACAATAGTGACGAACACATATTTTATTCCATTAAAAATTGAAAGACATGACTAAAAATGTTGAATTTTTGAAACACGGAGACCAAATGTGAAATCGACGCAAACTTGAGCGATGAAAACTGTATTTTTCCCAAATTAAGTTACATTCTCTATAGTATTTTTCGCATTTCCCAACCACCGTGTATTTCACCGGTCATAAAGATGCTACTCCCCGTGAAATGCACCATGTGATTTTCAACTATTGATGTGGTGAAATAAGTTCTCACTAAGCACACATAAATATATAAAATGCACCATGTGTTTAATTATGTGCAGATTAACGATTAATAACCACTCGGTATATTCCATCGGGTGTAGCATCAAATAAATCGTATTTCACGTGCGCTTTAGTTTTGTTGAATCGATCCCAAAATAAATAAATAAAACATTAAATATAAAGTCTTATCAACATATGAATATGATGACTATATATCCATCTCTTAAATAAGAGAGTTTACATCTTACCTATCAAAAGTACTGAACCAAAAAAAATGTGGCTGCATCTAAACTAACTCTCTGAAACTACAGTATTCATAAGTACTAAACAAAAAAAAAATATTACATCCTTAAACAAATCTTGGAGGTAATTTGGCTATGTAATATAGTTAAAAAAAATACTGTCCTACAAAAAAGGGTTAGCCCTTTATTTGGTGTAGTCGTTGTTCGTTATGCTTGTTTCCGTCTTTTTTAGCCGAGAAAAAAAAAATCAATTTTTCGATTAGGCCCTACCTGATCCCGCAAACGATGACGTCACCACTCGGCTCGTCGAACGGAATATTTAAATCAGGTACCACAAATTTGGAACCGGACGCATTTGATGTACAAGATTGTAGAGTAAGATTGTTTTCCGAGACGATTTGAATCGGTTGACCGGCTGTTGACTCGTGCTGAATTTGACCGGAAGTTGATGCCTCGGCTGTATGTGTCGACTCTCTATCGAAACGGGGTTGCAATTCGATCTGTGCGCAGAATCACAATTGATTGTCGTAATTCAAGAAAGTCTATCTTTTAAACACAATACTAATTGGTCGAATTAATTAATCGTTACCTTCATCTTCTTCAAGTTGTTGTTCGTAACTTTTTCCCTGTCCAAACACACGCGCAACGCGGCCATTTCCTGAGAAATTAAAGAATCTAATTTAACAATTTAATAACATAAGCAAATATAACTATTACGTAACCATCACATTCTCGTATAGGTGACGTAAAATGGAAATATCGAAATTACCCTTTTCAGCTCTCTTCTCTCCTTCAACAGCGAGTTCTCTTCGTCTTTGAGTTCTGTTAACGTCTGCAAATAACCAAAAACAGAGCAAATTATCGTTTTACTCATTTCTCCATAATATGCAAAACAAAAAATCATAATTAACGAAATATTTATTTCTACTTACCTTCTTCTTTCTCGACTTCTTCGAGGCCGTCTTTTCACTATCGTCGATAACCTGCAAACGGAAAATCAGAATCAACAGACGATCGATCAGCCAGCATATTCCATTAAAAAAAAAAGTAATTCGAAAATCGAAATAAAATACAGTTGATTCGGTTATATATATCAATGCATACTTTTGTACATTATCTAACAAAGCTGTCACATTCTTTAACCCTTAACTATTTTTTTGTCCTACTATATATATAAAAATGTATGTATATATATATATGTAAATAAATAAATACAAGAAAAGATGGAAAAAAGAAAATTAATAAGAAGAAAAGACAGCCCAACAACATAGTAAAGTTAAGTGCGCCTTGGAATTTGCAGGCTTGATTATTGACAGGTGGCATGCGATGGTTGGAAGATAGAGACAAGAAGATGCGGATAAATGAGGTTGCATGTTAAGCTTAACCTGCTCCCCCACCACACTAGATTGCGCCCCACTGTCAATTAATTATTCTTTTCAACAAACCACTAACAACGCTCCACCAAACCCAAACGCAGACCTATTTACTTGCCACGAAAACACGCCACCGCTTAAGCAGGGGGGTTGTGCCTTAATTTACCAAATTACCCCTCCACTAAAAAAATAAATTGACTCGTAATAATAAATTAATAATAACTTGGTCAAAATTAGTAACAATAAAATTAAAACCGAAAAATTAATTTTGACTTAACAGAAAGTTGGAAGAAATTAGTGGTGGGGGAGAATGGAATTGACGATATTGCCCTTCAAAAATAGGGCAAATTTGGTCGGCGTCTGACTATATGCGTTGAAACAAAGTCAGATTTATTTTCATTTAAGAAAAAAAAAGGGAAAAATCATAATAATTTAAAAAGTCTAAAAGATGGAAGGGGAGAAGGGTATATCGGTCAAGTCAACCAACGGTGCCGGATTTAGATCCGTGAAAAGACGGGAATGCCCTCGGATTGGATTTTCAGGTATGCAGAGGAGGGAGGGTATTGTCGTCAGTTTTGGAAATTGATTAAAATAATAATTAAAAAAAGTGGTGAGCAAAAGATGCGGACGAAGGGGCCTCCAATGGCTGAATCTGATTCCTGGCGGAAGCGTGGCAGTAAATATCAAAATTCACGAGGGATATTCTCGTAAATTCGGAGATTTCAGTTCATCGAATGACAGCTGACACGGGACTCTAGAAAGGATAAAAAGGAAACGCTGCACACATAACGCCGCCGCCCAACCACCGCCGGCCTCCGGGAAAATTCAGAAATAAAATATACGTACGTATGAGGTGAGAAATTTCACGTGCTCAGGGAACAAACCTTAGATCTCGACGCGTCGGAGATTTGGAGGGGTAATAGCCGACTGGACTCTTCAGAGCCGCCTCCCACGGCGCCGGCGGAGCCGCCGCTGAATGAGGTGGCGCCGCTCCACGAGAGCGGCGTGGTGGGGCTACCCCTGTGGGCGAGTTTCTTCGCGTTGTGGTTGACCGAAATCGATTTTGACCTGCGTTGACGGACGCTCCAGTGCAGCGGCAACAACGCGGCCGGCTTCGGCCGTGGCGGCGGCGGCGGCGGAGGCGGTGCGTGACGGAGCCGCACCAGGAACTCCGCGACCACCGCGTCATCATTCATGGCGGCCTCAATCCACTGATCGTCGGCGCCACTCATGGCTGGCTGTTCGCTTCCAGAGAGAGAGAGAGAGAGAGAGAGGAAGAGAGAGAAAGGAGGGTTTTGTGGCGGAGATAGGAAAAGGGTAAATGTAATGGTGGTGGCAAAGGAAATTTTGAGGGGAGAGTTATGAGTTTTATGTATTATTTATAGTAATAATAATAATAAATAGAGGTTTTTTATTTTATTTTTTAATTAATTAATAGGAGAGGTTTGACATGGCTGTCTTATTTTTTTTATTTTTTTTGTAAATACATATAGAGAGAGAGAGAGAGAGAGAGAGAGAGAGAGAGAGATACATATACATGTGTGTGTGTGTATATGCGTGCTTTTGTGGTGAAGATGCTTGTTGACAACTCTTTGTGTTGTGCGGGGTAGGGGGTGGGGGTTGGGGGGTGAAAATGGGCCCACTCTTTCCCTTTTCCTAAATTAAATTGAAATTTGATTTTTGAAAATATTAAATAATAATTTAATTTGTTTCCTATAAAAAGAAAAATGTATATTATACCTTCACCCTGAAGTATCCTAAAATAAATTTAAGATCCATGTGGTATGGATAATAGTGTGAGATTAATGAAAAAACTACCGTAGTCAAAATTTCATGTCCTGGGGTCTGAATTGATCAAATACTATTTAAATCTGAATAATAAAAAACAAAAATTTCACTTAATATTTTCTCGATTAGTTTCATTAAAACTTTGAAGGAAATTTACGACTGGAAAAAGGGCGAGTGTGAGATTAATGGGCTTTCATAGGCGAAAATTTATGAATCTTATATAAAATAATATGGATGTAAGAAATGTTAGGAGAACCACTGTCACCCCTTAGGGCATCTCCGACCGGACGCCATAACGGCATTTTTTCATCTAATTTAGGTGTTTTTAGCCTCCCACCCGAAATTCCTATATCACCATTACACCTAAAATTATGGAGATTTGGTTTTAGCCTCCCAGGTCAACCCCCATATCACCAAATACTCAAATCCTATTTTTCCACCAAATTTTTTGGTGAAGGAATTTTCATCTCCCACCGGTCCACCATTTTCCTATTTTTTCCACCAAATCCTATTTTTCCTACCAAATATAGAGGTGAAAATAGGATTTGCCGTAATTAACACCATTTTATTAAGTACCATATAAAATGACGATTTTAACTAATTGCACCCGAATACCAACTTATTAGGATATTTATCGTAAATACATTGGTATTAATTATTAAATTATTTTTAAAAATATAAATACATTTGTTATTATTAACAAAACATTAATTCTAATAATATAAATATGCTTATTTTTAATTAATTTGTATACTTTGTTGGTATCAATGTTTATTAGTTCATTTCTTTACTTAACTAATACGCTAATTGCTATTAATAAAATATAATAAGCAACAATAAAATGATTAACAAAACACACTTTAATTGATGAAATACAGGACGAGACATTTATTGACATTTAATAGAATGATAACATAATTTTTAAATTACATGGTTAAGAAAATTTATTACTTAGCATTGAATCTATAATTAATATTTAGAAAATAAAATATTATAAAATTACGATTAACATTAGATTTACATTTTTTGGGCATATATTGTGAAATGTCGTGGGAGACCAAACCAAATCCCATTTCCTATAAGTGGTGAAATGGTGAAATATTATTATTTTAATATTTGGTCTAAATTTTGATGAAACCCATTGGAGACCAAAATTACCATTTTTCCACCAAAAAATGTGGAAGAGTAAAATGGTGTGCTACCGGTGGGAGATGAACCCATTTTTTCACCACCATAATTGGGATTTGGTGAAAAAATGGTGAGACCGGTCGGAGATGCTCTTAGTTCTATGTCGTCACTACCACTGCTTAGAACTTAATAGTCAGTTATAACCCTAATCGAATAACTAGTCCAGTGCATTATTCTGTTAGGGTTTCTAATAATGTTTCAGGGGGTGATTGTAATTATCGATACTATATGGACGTTAAAATTAATTTATTATACATAAGGGGTGTGGGTGTAATTTAACCAAAGAAAAAAATAAATGGGAGATGGGGCCCACATGAAGATGGCGCATGACCGCCTGTTTGTATTACTACTATGCACTAAACTACACTTGTACCTTGGTATTTTACATTTGAGCTTATCGTGAGAAATTTAAATTAGATCTTAGGTTAATCCCGATATTGATTAATTCACAATCATAAAATAGAAAACATTAATTATTCAATAAGTATGTCTAAATAGAACGAGGATTTAATTTAATTTAATTTAATTTTAGTTATTTTACAAATAAAAAAAAGATATTGGCAGATTCTAGCAATTGAATTAGGATTAACGCTTTTTGACTTTTTCAAAGGAGAAAAAAAAATTTTATTGCATTTATAAATTAGTAAAAATGGGACCATTAATATAAATCTATTAAAGTTTATTTTTTGAATGATATTGTTTATTTTAAGTATGTTTTATTTTTTGTAATATGTTAGAAACATGTAATTGAATAATGTTTCTTGTATGTAAAAGCTCGATCTTTACCTTTTGGCATGATTGTAATTAATGCAACAATTTTAACAAGAATCATTATGTACAATTTCAAAAGTAGCATGTGATTGATGATGAAGAAGATTCCTTTTTATTACTACCTTTGTTTAAAGTAAAAATTTGTAAATAATAAGCGTGACTTCTCCGCTCCTAAGCTTGTGTGTGTGTTTTTAAATTTATTCATTTTAAATTCAAATCATATTTATATCGAGGCATATATTTATACGCCATGGAAATAAACCCGTTAAAGTTGTTTGAATTAAGGGTTCGTTTGGCTAAATTTATTCTAAATAGTTGATAATCTCTTACATTTGATATTATTTTTAGAGTTAATAATATGTTACGTCTTATTTTTAGAAATAATTTCTAAAGTATTTGAATAATGATATATAAGCTAGTTTTAGTAATTATAAGATTTTTTTAAACAACTAGTTCTTCACCCGTGCGTTGCACGGAGGTCAGTTTCAAAATGAGAAATAATAATATTTAAACGATTATCTCTTTATAACAATGCCAATTCAAGTAAAACAAAATGGAAGAACATCAAAGAAAAAATATCTCTTAATTCAGAGTTGTAACATATGAAATTCAAATAAATATTACAAAGAAGAATACGCGAAGGGCGCAAACACGATGTGAAGATTAAGTGAAATCATTTAAAACATATGGTATAACTCTATCTCATGGAATGTAATCTACTACACCATGTGAATCTTGTGCAAAATAACTAACTTAACAACAAACACAGTAGCAGAGAACAACACAATAGATATTCAAATAACCTGCAAATTTATCACTAACAATATTCAATTAGTGATGCACATTACTCAAACAACAACACAATTTATAAATATTGCAAAGAGAAAAGATGTATATGCCACTACCAATAATGATACCAATACTGATGCTAATACTGATACTCTGATACTAATATTGATACTAATATTGATATTAATACTAATACTAATACTAATACCAATACTAATACTAATACTTACTGATATTGATACTGATATTGATATTGATATTGATACTCATACTGATACTGAAACTGATATCGATACTGATATATATACTGATACCAATACATATACTTATACTGATACTGGTACTGGTACTGATACCGATACTAATACTGATACGGATACTTATACTGATATTAATACTAATATTAGTACTAATACTAATAGTAATACGGATACTAATACTATTATTAATACTAATATTAATGTTAAAACTAATTTTAATGTTAATGATACACATACTGATACTAATACTGATACTGATACTGATACCGATACCGATACTAATATTGATACGGGTACTTATAGTGATATTAATACTAATATTTGTACTAATACTAATACTATTACTAATACTAATACTAATACTAATACTAATATGAATACTAATACTAATACTAATAATATTACTATTACTAATAATGATATTAATACTAATACTATTATTAATATTATTATTAATACTAATATGTTAATGCTAATACTAATTTTAATGCTAATGCTAATCTGGATATACTAATTATTATGCTAATGCTAATTATAATTGTAAGTCTAATATTATCCAAATCCTTATCCTATTCCTAATCCTATTCATAACACTAATCATAATTCTAATCCTAATCCAAATCATAATCCTATTCCTTACACTGATCATAAGCCTAATAATTATAATACTAATAATGTTAATGCTAATACTAATGTTAATTCTAATTCTAATATTAATTATAATTCCAATCCCAATCCTAATGCTAATTATAATCCTAATACTAATATATGTCACTAAGTGTCCTACTAAGCATAATCATAATCTTAATATTAATTATAATATTATCTTAATCCTTATTACAATTCGAACCCTATTTCTAGTATTAACACCGATACTAATTCAAAGAATATTAATTATAATGCTAATATTAATCACAAATCCTGATCTTGCATCATTTTGTTTTGCAATGATCTATTATTTTGTATAAAAAAAAACAATTCTATCCAATCTCGAATCTTTATATCAAATTTCTTATGTGCGGTAGCTGAAGCATCAAAAAACACATATTAAATATATTAGAAATTAATATTTAATTATACTATCAAACTGACATTAAAAGTATTTAAAATATTATAAGGGTATAAATAAACGTTACGACGTAAAAGAACAATAATCGTTGTTAATAAGATAAATTATGAAAATCCTCCTGAACTTAGGCTAAATTCTAGAAAACACCCCCACTTATCGGTGATTACCAAAATTCCCTTGATGTTTGTTTCTATCTTACACGACCCCCTTATGGTGTGATTTTTTACGGAATCTTTTTTATTCCATGTAATATCCCAAAAAATATGGATTCTACCCTAGCAGACGTGACATTTCTTTTATCGTACTTTTTAAATACCAAAATTACCCTCAGGGTGGTCATGGTAATAATAAAAATTTGTGAAAGTGTTATTGAAGAAGAATAAAGATTTCTTGTAAAGTCCTCACGAGGGTAATTTTTGTATTTAAAATGTACCATAAAGAAATGTCGCGTGTGCAGGGTATAATCAGCATTTTTCGGGGAATATTCTACGTAATAAAAAAAGTTCCTTGAAAAATCATACCATAAGGGGGTCGATGTAAGACGGAAACAAACATCACGGGAATTTTGGTAATAACGAATTTGTGGGGGTGCTTTTCTTCATTTAGCCTAAGTTCAGGGGGTTTTCATAAGCTATCCTTGTTACATACAACTTAAACTTATTTACACGTATGACCATATGTTAGAAACTAACATAAAGGCTGATGTTATTGAAAATAGATCAAATTTCAAGTAAACAAAAGTCACTATAAAATGCTTATATAAATAAAAAATGGAAAAATAAAAAATTAATTGAATTTTTGTGTAAATCAGTCGAATATTGTGATTTAAAAAAAAACATAGAGATATAAAATCGATACAAAGATTCTTATAAACATTATACAATAAATAATTTCATTTTACAAATATTTTAAAAATGGAAATTAAGAAAATAAATATAACTTATTATATATGATAGGGAAATAGAAAACTTAAGAATATTTCACTAATTTAAATACATAACTTGTAAATTAGACAAAAGAACTCATGTATTCTAATACCAAAATATAGTGAGATATATATACAATGTTAAAATATTTAATAATCATTTACGCTATTATACCCTACATTAATACTTTTATTTTCATATGGTTTAAAATTTTAATTTAAAAATTAGTCAGAATATTTGTAGCTAAACATATTTTTTCCAATAATAGGTTTTCTATATCTTTCTTTACCCACACTATAGGATTGTAGTAAATCTCATATAAGTTCGATATGGTACCAATATCATGCCAAATGAAATGATAACCATTAAGTTGGTATTTGATAGGTAATATTTTGTTGGTATACTATGATTGATTCTTAATATTTGATAATTTTTTCCATCCATAACCACAATATTGCATCAATCTTTCTCAATTTGAAAAGACACACACATAAATTATGCAATTATTTCTCATATAATTGTAGTCGTTTATGTAATATATAAATATCTTATTGAGTTTGTAACTAAAAATGGATCGTAGAAACTACTTATTTGTCGATTGATATTGTATTTGTTAATATATACTATTTACGGCAAGAGCACCTCGAGTGGCGTTATTAAATGAGCTATCAAAACATTAATTAACCACCATTTTCATATGCAAAAATAGTAATTTTTAATTCCAATAGTGTTATGAAATCATGGTTGTATTTTGATATTTCATCTTTCAGAATGTAAAACTACATTATGCAATCATGCATAATAAATTATCAAATATGAGTTATAAATTTAACCACCTTAGTGTCCATTTTGAAAAATAATATGTGGCAATTACAAATATAAATAAATTTAATTATATTTAATTAATAACTATTTAATACATATGGTTGGAGCTAATACATTTAGATAAATATCAAAATAAAATATTAAATAGCACATAAATATTTGCAAACTCATTTTGATACTTTTGGGTTGGAGTTGGTCTAGATATTTACTTATACCAAGTAAATATTTATCATAGTTATAATGAAATACTTCTTAGTGGAATACAATATATAATATATACAATCATTATACATTTTAAACAAAACAATTGATATTTCTAATGTTTGGAATTAAATAAAGTGAATCAACTAATTTAATACCAAAGATTTAGAATAACATTGTTATATTTTGAAATATATAAAATCAATTCGTTTTTTATCAATTAATTAAACTTAACTTATGTTATTCAATTTATTAGTATAATCATGATAAAATTATTATTTTAATTACTATATAATTTTAAAAAGTTAAATCAATTGTAAAATTTATTGTCACTGGATTCAGTGAAGAAAAATTAACTGTTTAAATAATAACATGAAATTCATGTAGTACTTTTGAATATGGTAAATAATTGGAAGTACATTACTCTACACATGTCAAAAAAAAAAAAATAGTGTCAATTTTCGCAATATAGTAAATTCGAACATGTTTCTTTCTTTTTTAGATATAATATTAATATATAATATTAAATTCGTAAAAAAAACGTATTCTTTGGTCATGTTCATGTAAAATGTGTAATATCAAATAATTTATTTTGCAATATATTTTAATATAAATCCAAGGTTACGAATTAAAATACAAAATTTATGTAACACCACCAATCATGCAATTATAATAGGGGAATATTGCTCCAACTTACCACCTCCGGAACCAGTTGAGCTACACTACCTTGAATTTAACTAAATTCAAATTAAATTAATTATAAAATTAAATTAATTAAAAAATTAAATTAAAAAATAAATTTTGTTTAGAGCTTCCAAGAAAGTTGATATATTTAGAGTATTTTATAAATGGTAGGATATAAATATATTAATAAAATAATTAAATATATTTAATTACCTTTAATTTTGGAAAATGATGACATGTTTTTTGATGATTTATTTCCACCAATCAATTCGCCACCTGGGATGAAATTGAGGACATGTCATCAATTGAATTTGCCAAATGTCAATCAATTAGGTGTGCAATTCAACTTTTATATATTATATAGATAGCATAGAGGTAGTCTTTAAAAAAGATTTTATATTACCAGCTTATTTTTTGAATTGTAAAGATCATTTTTAAATAAAACTACCAAACACTTTTGGAAGAGCTTATAAGCTCTTAAGCATACCATAAGCTCTTTTCAACAATTAATAAGCTTAGCCAAACACTTTCTAACTCAATTTTACAGTGTAGTCTAGTGTGGTTTACGTCTCTCGTATGGTTTGCAAACTATTATAACGAAAGTGTAGGTTTACCCAGTGCATCTATATGGTTGATTGCAGGCTCATTCATTACAGAAAACCAATAAAAAATTAATAGTGAAAATGGAGAGATGGATTTCTAAAAGGGTTAATAGCACTTTATTCCCTTATGGTTTGAGCTTTTTGCACATGACCTCCTTATACTTTTAATATAACCACGCGACCCTCTTTTATTTTTCCTATAGTACATAAACCCCATAAGTATACCACTTGGTAAATAATAACACGCATTTGAAAGAGGAATTTTAAAAAATACAAGGGAGTTGCTAATATTAAAGTACAATGGAGTTATGTGCTTATATTAAAATACAAAGGGGTCATCTGCACAAATTTAAAACCACAGGGGTTAAATGCAATTTTCCCTTTCTAAAACATGGATCGGGCCTTGAATGATTAATTGTAAAATGGGCCTTAGGAAATGGCCCGTTATACTTTATATCAGCTATTTTTGTAAAATGGAAAAAATCGAATTGGATCCCTAAATCCCAATCACGAATCCCTAAAACCTTCACCACCGCCGCCGTCCACCACCGTCCACCGCCGCCGCCGCCACTGATGACGGCGATCACCCAACGCCTCCTCCATCACCGCCCTACGCCGCGGACACACACATTCTCCCTCCACCGCTTCTCCACGTCCTCCGACTCCGGATCCACCTCCGACGCCCCGCCGCCGAAATCCGGACCCGAATCCGAATCCGAATCGCAGCCGAAACCCTCGGTCTCCTCTTACCTGCAGTCCGTCAGAGCCTCTCTCCAGAGAGAACCGCTGCCGCACAACCGCCTCCAGCCACCCCGCAAACCCCTCTTCACACCCACTCCCCAAACCCCTCCTCCGTCCGGAGCGGCGCCCAAACTGGATGAAATCCGCCGCAAGCTCACCGGATTCCGCAGCCAATACGCCTCTTCTCCTCACCCCTCCTCCGCCGCATCCGGTCCTTCCGTCTCACTCCAAGACCTCTACCAGAGAAACCTGCCCTCCAAAAACGACGACTCCGCCGCCCCGTCCAATTCCGCCGGAAAGCCAAACATGAGCCCTTCCTTAGACGCCATACGGAACAGTATCAACCAGCTGCGCACCGATTCCCCTTCCGGCAAGGCCAGCGATCCACTGTCGCTCACGCGGTGGAAGGAGACCTTAAATCTGAAGCAACCAAACAACGCCTCCGGTGACGGTGGCAATCGGATGCGAACGGGTTTGGGTTTACCGTCTTATATAAACAACGGGAAGAATACAATCGGGGGTGGAGGAGGAATACTCAGGACTGGGTCTCTGAAGATGTACGATTATTCGGAATTGGGTTCGAAGCTGAAGGAATTGAGGCCGGAAGGGAAGAAGGGGAAATGGTTTTCGCTGCTTGAACTGAATGAGAGGCTCGCAAAGCTGAGGCAGATTGAGGAGGAGAAGAAGCAGCAGAGTCAGTTGGGTATGGGTGGCCAGCTGTTGGATGATTTGAGGGACAGTATATATAATCTCAGTGTATCCACAGATGAGAAAGAGAAGAAGCGATTGAGTAAGTTTATTGTTTCCGGTTCACAATTGTGGTTCTCTAACGTTGTAGTCGAACTTACTCGTTGATTTCAACAAATAACCGTAATTTTAGTGTGTCCTTGTAGAAAAAACAAGTTAACCACAAGAGACTAGGGAAATGGTAGAATTAAGTTTATTGTTTCCGGTTCACAATTGTGGTTCTCTAAAGTTGTAGTCGAACTTACTCGTTGATTTCAACAAATAACCGTAATTTTAGAGTGTCCTTTCGAAACGTATTGTTTCGCAAAAGATAAAACAAGTTAACCACAAGAGACTAGGGAAATCGTAAAATAAGCATTGGATAGAGACACCTAATAATAATCAATGATAAGTTACAATTTCGTTAGGTGACGCCTCTGTGTTTTTAAATTTGTGTCGAGCATATTAAGTTTTGGCACTATACAGTTTTGTTTAGCATCTTAAACTAGCAAAATATATGTTCTTTTACACTGATATATTTGTATAATGGCAGTGTCAGTTATCGATTTTGAGATGCTCGTGCAGTTAAATTCACTTGCATTGCCATTTCCGGACTTACTAAAGAATGAATAAAAACATGCTGCAATGAAGCAAGAATGAACATTGAACTTCGGTAGTGAAACATAGCAGTTCGTCCAATGAGATGGGAAACACACGGCATTTTTTTCTTTTTTGATAACATGAAAAATTGTGAAAGATTTATTAATGTGAAGAAATTTACTCTAGAAGTGTAAATGGAGCCAACTGTAAGAAGGCCTGCTTAGATTTATTAATCTCTTTTTGTGGTTTATTGAGTCACTACTTTGTCTCGATTTTTGTCTTGTCTTATTCCATCTAAAAGATACTGATGAAGACTCCCAGTTTTCTCGAATATATACATCTGATTCATTTTTTTCCTATCTGGATATCTGGCAAGCGATAGTGGAAATTTATATGTAACCTGCGTATATATTTAATATATTGCTGACCGATAATATGTTACAGAGCAGAAATATAATATTTTGAGCCAGCTCGGCGGAACCCCAACCTTCATGATGTCACCTCCAAAGGATCACTTAGTTGAGAAGGCAAGTGTTGACTTTTTTTCACCATTCCAGCTGTATGTATTCGTTGTTTGAGTGATCTACTATGCACGCATTCAATAATGATTGATGAGCAGGAACAACGAAATGCATGCAATTCGAATGATTCATTTCACTAATAGCTTGAGCTTTTAGATGAGGTGGTCATTCAACATGTGTTAATATTCCACTTCTACTTAGTATGACGATTTAGGACACTTCTTAATCTGATGCCGTTTTTTGTATGATGACATTTCTCTATTTTCTGCAGTATTTTCATCCTGACAACCTTTCGTCTGCTGATAAACTAAAGTTGGAGCTTAAAAAAGTGAGGGATGAATTTAAAATGTCGGAATCAGATTGTGGTTCTGCTCGAGTTCAAGGTAAAGCCTCCTCAGCTCTTGCTAATGTTGACTTGATGCTGCAAAGAATTTTAATTTCACGAACCGATAACCGCAACTGAAGTACATATTTAGTAATTTCTTTTTACTATAATTCTATCCTCTATGTTTCCCTATCCCTAATTTAGTTCCTCCGGTTCCTATTGGTGTTCGATGTGGTCTTCCTAGTTCTATTCTTGAACCACTAGTTTTAACTTCACATGCATCAATAAGACTTAAAGAAATTGCAAACAAGCAATCCTGAATTGAATTATTGTGCATGATTGCCTGACTGAATCCCCTTTAAGATACTGTTAAATGGAAGATTCGGTTTATATCTATTTAGCGTAACTCAAAAAGTGACCTGCTAAATTGGCACAGTTCTTGAAAATATTAACCGTGTTCTTGTTTATTTGGTGAAAATATATTCTTGCTTTTAGTTTCGTTGATTATGGGGAACTTGCGTTTTGGTATATTATACTAAGTTCTGTACCCTTGTCATATTAAGCTGATTTTACGGTTTCAAATAAAGATCCCTGCTAGTTAATGTGTGTGTGCGAGTCTACAAGCTAACCATGTTTGCTCTAATATATTATAGCCGAATCATTAAATCGATCTTGGTTCTTTTTTCAGTAGCACAGCTGACGACAAAGATCAAGCATTTGTCAACTGTTCTACAGAAAAAGGTTAGCAAATCGTTTTCACATGAAATCTGAAACGAAGTATTTACTTCAAATTTCTGATTAGATGTTTACTTCTTGACCTAGTATTCACACAATTTTCCCTCAATGCAACTATAATTGTAGGATAAACATTCTCGGAGGGGCCTTCAGCTAATGGTTCAGAGAAGGAAGAAGCTGTTAAAATATCTACGAAGAACCGATTGGGATTCTTACAGCCTTGTTCTTTCTAAGCTTGGTCTGCGTGACAATCCAGATATCAAGGCTTAGTTAATTACCGTAATTTTTATTTTCGTAATAGAATATTTGTTGGTGTTAAATCCTTGTAGTAAGTTTAATTTTTGCTGTGGTTTCTATCGACTTGTTTAACGGGCGTTCTACGTTTAGGGGAAAGGGGGGCAGTTTTGTTTCGTGTGCTATTCTCGTCGCGTATGGGAGTATGTTTAGCTCCAAAACTATTTGTATTTTTCTGTGATCCAAATTGTTATGTATATTTGTTTTGAGCTTCGGCACTTGCTATTAATCTAATAAATTTGATTATTTCGATTTACGTTTGCTTCGTTTTAATAAATTATTTTGGACGAATGTTTGTTTGGGTTGTATTATATGTGATATTTCTGTGCGATTCAATTGCGGTTTTATCGAATGACCATCGTATTCATATACATCTTTCATCACGATACATGGTCTATGGTCTGCTAATCTTTCAGTGACAAAGTTCTTTTTCTATGATTTGATTAGGGGTGGAAATTGGAATGGAATTTTCGAATTCTGCCAATTCCGATATGCCAATTCCGATAAAAAGATGGAAAATTTATTTGAAACGGAATTGGAATGGTATATAAAATCAAAAAATGTGCATAGATTATAGTGAAAAACCTTGAAAATCACTAAAACATTCTTGACATTAATTGTTTTACAACTAAAATATAATTATAATTCTAATATTAATATTATTCATAATTATAAAATATAAATATAATTAGGAATTACTGTAGGATTAATATCCATAGAGAAGATTCAACACGTACATGTGCATGGGAGCAACGATAAAATCACAAAAGAAAAAAAAAAAGGAAAAAGACAAATTAAATATGAAAATTTATTTTAATTGTTAACCGGAGGCATGAAAGGAAGCGGCGGGGGTAGCGGTAATGGCTCTTCATCTGTCGGCGGTGCAGTTATGAACGGTATCGGCTGCACCACCGGATTCTCCGGTGTACTAGTGAACGACGGCGGTGAGAAGAAGTCAATTTCTGGAGGGTTTGATATGGGCGGGGGTAAAAATGTAAATGGAATTTCAGGTGTCAACGGCGTGTTTTCCGGCGGAGTGACACCGGAAAAATCGGGGTTGCCGGTTGAGCATCGTCGTCTGCCGGTGGTGTGAGGAAAAAATCTGGTGGCGGGGAACACGCAGGTGGTGGCACACGGTGGTGGGAGCATAAAGTCCGGCGAATACGGCGGTGGGAAAATCACTAGTGGCGGAGTTTCTGTGTTCATGTCGGGTGGGGTTAGCCATGGAAAGACTGGTGCTGCATCTGACGGCGGCGGTGAGGCAACCAACGGTGGCGGGTATACTATGGGAAGCACTTCAGGTGGCGGAGATAACGGCGGCGTGGGGGGCGGAGGAGACGGGACTAACGGCGGCGGAGGCGATGGAGATGGCGGGGGAGGTGATGGGATTTGAGGACGGAGGGGAGGCCGGCGGCGGTGAAGAAACTAGAGGCGGCGGAGACGCCGGAGCAACTGGCGGCGGCGGGAGGGTTACTATCGGAGGAGGTGAAGAAGGTATTAAAGGTGGGGGGAACACAATTTGTGGTGGCGGCGACGCAACGAGCGGTGGAGGCAAAGGAACCCTCGGCGGCGGCCTACGGCGGGGCGACGGCGGCGATCTTGGCAGAAAAGGGTTTGTAGGAGAAGTGCGTTGAAACGGCCATTGACCACAGTTTCCAAATAGGAATGAGTACAAAGGGTCACAACTCGACGGCGATGAACCTCCGGATGATCTCCTTCCACCACCACCACCACCGCCGCCGCCGCCTCTTCTACCTGCTCTTGCGCCGCCACTTCTTCTTTTCTCCTCCTCCGCCCTTGATCTTTTATGCCGGTGGCTTGAAATAGTACTTCTTGATTCAGAAGTAATTACAAGTAATAATAACATTGCAAAGAGAAGCACCACTAAAACTCCACTTGATTTCATTTTCTAATTTATTTGAAATATTTAATTAATTTTGAGTTGAAATAATTTGGATGAATTCACAGCCCTAGTTTAATTTATATAACTGAGTTGAATTGATAAACATTGGAATGCAAATAAATCAGTAAATTAAATAAAACATAAATGCAAGGGTGCGAATTTCAATAAATTGGATTAATTGTTGCTACTTTGTTAGTAAAGAGTTGTGAAGGTGCAGTTGGGAGATGATCTGATCAAAAATTGAATTGCCTTGTATAACGTGCCATGCATTTCTTCACATCTATCCAAACAACTCTTTAACTCCGCTTTGTATAAGTTATGTTTGGAATAGTTAGTAGACATGGCCACGGCCCGGGTTCGGCTCGTGGTTTATGATATCCCAAGCCCGAAGTCGACGGATACAAGAGTCCTTACATTGGGCCACAACAACTTATAACTAGTGTTCGGAATAAATTATTAGTTATCTTATTCAATATTCATTATTATTGTTAACCTGAGTTTGGCAGCAATTGTCCACGAGAGGACCTGGGTATGGACGGTCCACAGTCGAATATCGTGAATGCTTGTGTGTGACGAATGCACTATAAAACTAGGGTCTGCGTATTTGCTGACGTTAATTGATTTTAGAACAACTGGTAGCGCATGATGTTCTACAAGTGGTGTAAAAGCCAATGTGAATTCCAACTATAAATAAAAATGATTAATTGTAATTTGTAAATATTGCCACATGGTGATTTGTGCAAAATGTTAAGAGCTTGGATAGACCATGTTTTAATAAGTAGTAAATATCATTTAACCCCCCTAAGTTTTGACTGTTTTGCACATGACACCTTTGTAGTTAGAATTTCACCACATTAACCCCTATATGGTTTTTATGTGGGTATGCTACTCTCAATTTCTCCGTTAAAGTCAACTGTGTGCGTGTACCTCACACACCCACATTTCAAGTTGACCGAAGTATAAATACCTAAAATACCCTTTAATTTTAATTAAATAAAATTTGCATCCATTTCCTTTATTTACACATATTTATATATTTTGTATCTAAATATTGCGAATATTCATCTTGGGCCATGAAAATTAGGCCCAATAGATTAATTATGAAATGGGCCGTCTTCAGATAAGTACACCTGTGTTCATTTCATTTGTAAAATAATTTATTTATAAAAAAATAAAAATAAAAAGTCACTTGTTTGTCTTTGTTTTAATCATTTATAAATTATATAAATTGGTAAAGCCATGTTTGGAGGACTTGTCTTATTGACAACTTGGGGGAACACAAATCTTTTTCGCACACATCTTTACAAGAAGAAGATCTCTGTTTTGGCTTTTTTTTTTTTTTTTTTTTTCATATTAACTAATTATTAATTTTATTTTTCATGAATTTTGATGCCTTTGACTAATTGTGATAAAAATATTGACAATATATAATTCCTCTCTTTTTTCTCTTGCAATCTTTTATCTGAAATTATTAGCAAATAATTTGTCTCAAATTATTCGAAACTCTAGATTTCAATGTTCCACTAATTTGATTTTTTTTTTTCATTTTTACCCTTATAATCTTATAATTTGATATCAATGTTCCACAAAAGTTAATAAATATTATAGGAAAATTGAAATGATGAAATCAAATTATACGAATAATTTTTAAAAAAGATGATTAATGGTGGAAAAATTAATTGGGGGTGTATTTACTCAATTATACAATTTTCCTATAGTATTTATTAACTTTTGTGTTCGTATGCATTATTAGCCCAAAAAGACAAATATTTATGCAGTTATGGAGTAAAATTATGTATTTTATGGAGTACTACTAAACATATTTAATTAGACATAAATGCATATATTCTTTTAATAAAACTTTTGCAGTAAAGTAATTATAATTAATTTGTTTGCATTCTTCTTTTCATCGAACTTTTCACCTTTGGGTATTTTTATTTTAATTAGCTACTGTTACATACTGTCACATATATACTTCAATTTTAAAATTGAATATTCTGGACTTGCTTGAAAAAAAAAATAGAATAATCAAAATGATTAAACAAAATTTTTTTAATGCTTTAATTTGGAAAACATTTTTGTGGTCTAGTGCAAAAACCCAGTTGGACAATAATGCATGCATATATTAAAGAAATAAAATTAAATGGACCATTAAATAATGTGACAATTTTGTCTCTCAAATTATTGACCTAATTATGTGGATCGTATAAATAACTAATTTTTGGTCTTTCAATAACATTAAATTTTATTTAATTATTATTTTGTTGGTTTGTGACAATTTTCTTAACTTTCACACATGCACTTAGGTTTGGTCTTCAACGTGGGGTTTCATTGAACACCTTCAACGTGGTGGTTGTTAATATTTTATTAATTTTTATTAATATATATATTTATATATAGTGTGCAAGTCCAACATTTTAGTCAAATCTATATAGAGTTTGACTTATTAAATTCTATTTAATTAATAGAAGACACTAGCTTCTTACTTATTTTGGTTAATGATCCAAAATATTTTTGTTCCACTTCATTTAAAATTTGGGTAAATTACAAACACCCCCTGAGGTATGGTCAAATTACAAAAACCCCCCTCTTGTTTGGATAATTACATCTACCTCCCTCAACTATCATTTTTTCTTACACCTCCACCCTTATTGTGCCAAATTCAACATAATCATCTAGATTCCGTGGAATGTGCTCTAGTTTGTACTCGTTTTGTGTAAAAATACAGTTTCCGATGCACCACAAACTGATATACACAAGCTAAAAATCACATATTATGATCATCTTGCTTCATAATGTAGAGTTTGAATGGTATAAAACGGGTACATAAGTGATAATATTTCATATAATCTCGAAGATTCCACTAAATTTGAGGAGCTGAGGGGGTGGTTGTAATTATCCAAACAAGAGGGGTGTTTTTGTAATTTGACCATACCTCAGGGGGTTGTTTGTAATTTACCCTTTAAATTTTTTTAATATTATATTAATTTATTTTTTTTCCTGTTTTAATCTTATTAATTTATCTCTAACCATTAACACTCTCTTATTACATTATTAAATAATCAAAGTTATTTTAGTTCTTTTAATGTATTTTCTCTAACATCAAGACATGTTTATTCACATTCTTAATACTTGTGCATAGCTGAAAAACGACAATTATTTAGTAACGCAACGAGTATAAAAAACACACCAAACGTTGAAACCGCGGTTAATTTTAAAAACACTTAAAAGAAACTTACAAACAGATTGTGAAAAAAAAAAAAGTCAGAAGTTGTTTCTAAAAACTGACATACATTTGATACAAATTTTGAAGGAAATTGGACAATGAAAATATGAAATCTTAATTGGAAAAATAAAACTAAATAATGTATGAATGAATTCATCACAAAATTAAACAACCGACTGATAATGATTGATCATGTGCAATGCCAATCTAGAAAATTAAAATTGTTGAACTGTCTTAATTCTTATAATATGAGTCAATAGTTTCAACTACTTGACTTTATTGATTAAGAAACCTACCTTGTATACATACATATAAATATAATGAACAAATTCATCGTACCTTATTGCTTTTCTTGTAGATTGGAAGTATCTGTAATAAAATGACACATTCAAGATTTGTAAGATTTGTTTGTAATAATTATTGGGGTCGCGTTTATATACGTTCGTGTTTTTATCTATTATTATTATTATTGCATTTAGAAGCTGTTTAGCTAAGCTTATAAGCTGTTAAAAAAGTTTATCAAATGTTTCAAAGAGCACATAAGAATTCATCAACTATTTAAAATAAATTTAGCCAAACGGGCCCTTAATCTCTTCCCCTATATTCATTTGGTATCAAAATTTCTGAAAATCGTCATGATTATTATTTCATCATATATTAATAAATAAATATTATTTAATGCCTAAAATATTTGATATGTTTTATGTAAAACGTGTTAGATGTAAAAGAAGCAATTAAATTCTATTAAGGTATAATAGTGTTTTTGACATTTTGTCAATTTCCTACATTATTTTAGTGTTAAAAAAAATTCAAATCATGTTATAAATTGAGGAAGGGCAAGATAAGAACATCATATCTCTACTCTAATAGTAGAACCTAGTGTGTGTGTGTGTGTGTGTGTATATATATGTATATATATATAAGTGGATTAAATTAATGTGTTTTAGCTATCTTAAAAGATGGTGCTTGAATTGTGTGATTTTTATTTATTTTTTATTTTTTCTTATTGAAGCATTGAATTTAAAAAAATTGCAGAAATAAGCAGACTTCTTTAATGGGAGCATGCTTATTGCCAAGCCAAAGTTATGACATTATTAAAAACAGCAAAAAAATCATGGGTAAAACTGGTTAAATATAATTATTCTAGTATGTTCAAAAAATAATAATTCTGCAGAATTAAATAAATGCTGTCGGTGCAGTTTATTGAGAATTTTGTGACACTGCTACACAAAATTGTACACCTGACTGTCACAAATCAATGATCTTATCTTTGTAATAAAATAATTTCGATTGATTAATTAGTGACCAAAGATTTCAAATTGGAAATAGGGATGGAAATCATAATTATATAGAAAGCAAATGATTGCACTTTACTGAAAAATAATAAATAATAAATAAATAAATAAAAGCCACTTTATGCTACTAATTATTGCCACTTATTGAGAAAGTAATAGGGACTTTTTTTTTGGCCAATTTTAAAATAATTGAGGAATTAAGATAATGCATAACTATATATTTTTAGAATCAATGAAATTTTGTCCCATATAAATAAGAAAACATTGCTATACTTATTATTTATAATTAATAATATAATAGATTGATATTATATATGAAACACCCAAAGTAATTCCAAACTTAACGATGCTAGTATTTTTGCCTGTGCGATGTATGGGAGCATCTGCTTAATTGAATTTGAAATATTGTTATACTTTTATTTAATTTTAATCTATCATTTTAAAAAATAGTCTCAATAAAATATTGTGGATTAGTAGTAAGAAGAATATTTATTTAAAATGCTAATGAATTTCTTCCATCATAGTTTAATTTAATTTATAAAAAAAATATGTATTTGAATTAGGGTAAATTACAAACGCCCCTGATGTATGGTTAAATTACAAAACCCTCATTTTGTTTGGATAATTACCCCTCTTCTGAAAAAAGATTAAACATTAATTTGCAGAGAGAGGGGGAAAAAATACTTCAAAATGTCAGTAAATTACCATTAACCCCTCTCTCTCTCCTCTCTTTCTACCGCATTACACAGAACGTGACCTTCTTTAACTCAGGAGAGAGAAACACACACACACAGAGAGAGAGAGAGAGAGAGAGAGAGAGGAGAGAGATTGAGGATTAATAACTGCCACATGATTGTGGTGCAATTGCCAGTCCTTTTACTTTTTCTGGATAGCAAAAAAAGGCAACCTCTTTGCTTTTTTGCCTGTTTCAGTCCTTTGTCTCTATTCTCTCTCTCATTAAAAAAAAAAACAATTTCACCCACAACAAAATCAAATACTCAGATACACAATAGACATTCAGTCAGTCCCACCTTAAAACCCATTTTCAAATTTGAATTCCCTTAAATATCACACACACACACAGACAGAGAGAGAGAGAGAGAGAGAGAGAGAGAGAGCCCTATTTTCTTGAAAGAGAGAAAGAAAGAGAAAGAATGAAACCCATTTGGTTTGTGATTCTAATACCCATTTGGGTATTATTCAATCTCCCTTCGTTTTCGTTTTCCGCCCCACTTGATGTCAAACCCGACCCGCCCGCCGCCGACCCGGTTCTTCCCACTGAAAAAGATCCGTTTTTTAAGAACTCAACCGATCTTATAGCTCACTCTCCAGGTAAATTTAATTTATGGGTTCTCATTTTTTGTAAGGTTTTGTTGATGTTTTCAGATAAAAATCATATGCGCATCTGTAATTATTATTGCAGATAAATTAATAAATGAAATTAGAAATAAAAATCGCTACTTTATTAGTTTTTGCTTTTTCACCTGCATTGCTCAGATTTTCAAGAAAGGTGTTTAAAATGATGGGTTTTACTTTGAATGTTATTTATTCTTATCTATTTAATCAATTTTATTTTCATCTTTTTTTAATTAAATAATGGGATCAGAGGTAGCAGAGGTTAAGGTAGTTCACCACCAGGATTTAAACAAGAAGATCCTAGTTGCACTTGTTGTCTCTTCATCTCTTCTTGGAGGGATTTTGCTGCTGCTTTCGTGTTTTTCGATCTACAGACTTAAACGATTGAAGAAATGCAAGGCCGAAAACGAAGAAAATCCGGGTATTTTATTTTCCATTTCAGTTTGATCAAGTACAATTTGAATTTTTCGATTCGAATCCACCCTTCTTATACATTCTTGAATTTGTTCGATTACTCGTAAACAGATGCTGCAAAGGCTATTATCTCGTTCGGTCCGATTTTGGATAAATTCCCCTCTTTGAAAACCAGTGGCAAAAAGGGCTCAATTGCTTCGATTGAGTACCAATTGTTAGTGGCTGCTACAAATAATTTCGACGAAGCCAAAATTATCGGGGAAGGTGGATTAGGGCGCGTGTATAAGGCTCATTTCAACGATCACTTTCACGCGGCTGTTAAGAAAATATACGCTGGTGGGCAAGAAGCTCAAAGGCAATTCGAGGTTTTTTATTTATTTATTTATTTATTTATTTTTATTGCATTATGATTGGATCGTTCGTCGTCGCTTATTCATAGTCTTGAAAAATAAAATTGCAGAATGAGGTTGACTCGTTGAGTAAAATTCAGCATCAAAATGTAGTGTCTCTATTAGGGTATTGTATACACGGTGAATCGCGGTTCTTGATTTACGAAATGATGGAGAATGGATCCCTCGAATTTCACTTGCATGGTAAATGTTTATTTATTTATTTATTTATTTTCCTAGTATTTCGACTGTAAAATATTTATCTCTAAAAAGAAAAACAAAATCTCGATTTATCTCAGGAAATCTCATCGATCGACGCTGACTTGGCATTTGAGAATGAAAAGTGCTCTGGATGTTGCAAGGTAGTATAACAAATATTCATGATTAATGTTTGCAAAATAAATTCGATATTTCGATTACTTATTTTGCTAAAAATAAATTCGATTGTGAAACAGAGGATTGGAGTATCTCCACGAGCGCTGCAACCCTGCCGTAATCCATAGAGATCTCAAATGCTCTAATATTCTTCTCGATTCCAATTTCAATGCCAAGGTAAGACGAAAAAAAACAATCTTTAAATTCTTGCAGTCAATTTGCTTGAACGAATGCACCGACAAATTTTACTTTTTTTTTTTCTTTTTTTCAGCTTTCGGATTTCGGCCTTGCGATTACTGGAGGAAACTCGAACAAAACGAGCATCAAACTTTCGGGAACTTTAGGCTATGTAGCTCCAGAGTATCTATTAGATGGTAAGGACTATTGAGTAATTAAATCAAGATTGCATTTTGATTTTTTGAAAAAAAAAAACGAATATATAATATCAGGCAAGCTTACGGATAAAAGCGACGTGTATGCGTTCGGTGTGGTTCTTTTGGAGCTTTTGATGGGAAGAAGGCCCGTTGAGAGAGTAGCCGAAACTCAATGCCAATCTATAGTTACATGGGTAATTAAATTAAATTATTTCTTAAAGCTCGTAACTTTGTAATTCCGAAAACGCCCTCTTACTTTGCTTCAAAACGAGCAGGCAATGCCTCAGCTTACAGACAGATCGAAGCTTCCGAATATTGTGGACCCCGCCATCAGAAATACTATGGACTTGAAGCATTTGTATCAAGTAAGTTTCTTACACAACACCAATCAATTTTATTTTTTTAGGGCAAATTACGGCCACCCGCTGAGTTATGGTCAAATTACGAAAACCCCCCTCCTGTCTGGGTAATTACAGCCACCCCCTCAACTATGTATTATTTTACTGAGAGTACCCTCCAGAGGTAAATTTAGGGATGTTAAATCGGTAAAATCGAACCGAAATTTCGCTACGCCAACATTTCATACCGTACCAAGATGGGTTTTTTTGTAATTACCCAAACAAGATGGGTTTTTTCGTAATTTGGCCATACGGTACCTAGTGGGTGGCCGTAATTTGCCCTTTTTTTTTTAAATAATCTTTTAGGACATTTTACGGATTTTTTTTTGGTGGACAGGTGGCGGCTATAGCTGTGCTGTGTGTACAACCGGAGCCGAGTTATCGACCACTTATAACAGATGTTTTGCACTCTTTTATCCCACTAGTGCCCGTGGATCTTGGAGGATCGTTAAGAGTATAACCGATTATGCTTCTTTGAACATGTGCATAGGGTTCGATTTTTACGAAAAGTCCGTTAATTAACTGGTTTTTTGAGGTGGGGTTCGTTTTTTTAATCGATTTGCTTAATCAAATCCCTTTTGGTAGGAAACATGGATTAAGGATTTGTATCGGGAGGAAAGTTCGTTTTTTTTTTTGCTCCGAAAGGATTACTTGTCCTTATAAGAAATCGGTAGTCGGTCGCGTTTTGATGTGTGTGTGTATATATATATATATATGTATAAGAGTTTGTTTTGTAGTAAAACATTTGAAGTTTTTTGGAGATGCAATCATATGAATGTTTGCAAAAATTTGAAGGTTCTGTCAAGATTTGTTTTGTCTGAATTAGAGCAAGTAAAATCTCAGTTGCTATGTGGGATTATATAACTATGTGTGTGTGTGTGTGTACCATGTGAGATCATGTGGAATATGTAGTCTAAAATGTTAACACAAACATGCAAAAATGACAACATTTAAGAAACTATGGTTGAAAATTGCGACGAAATAATTTATTGGGCAAATTACTTTCGTCCTATTGGGTTATGGTCAAATTACGAAACCTCCTCTCTTATTTGGATAATTATAGCCACCTCCTCAATTATGTATTATCTTACGAAAATACCTTTCTAGAGGTAAACTTAGGGATGTTAAATCTGTAAAACCAAAACGAAAATTCAGTACACCAACATTTTATAACGTTTACTGAACTGAATATACGATTTGGTTCGGTAAATAATCAAATTACATAAGTTTTATGTAAAAATATTTAAAAGAAGGGGTGGCTGTAATTACCCAAACAAGAGGGAGTTTTTCGTAATTTGGTCATACCTCATGGGATGACCGTAGTTTGCCCGAATTTATTCACTGATTTTGGTCCGAAAACAATGCCTTTATTCATGTTACACAGAGAGATAATTAAGTATACACGTAACACCTGGTGAATTTCGCCCAAATTATATCTTGTCGATTCATATATATTTTACACGCATGCCCGTATAAATGTTTGAATGAATATTGAAAAATGAAATATTTTTTACCAGGTATAGCATCTAAAAAATTCAATCTTGCAAGCCAAGTATACTTAAATCTTAATTAAGATTATTGCCACCAAATAAGGGGCAAAAGCCAAAACGACGTCGTATCTCTCTCCAAATCTTTAACCCCCACTCCAAATATAAGAAACTAACGTTGTTGTCTCGGAATTACCAAAGTCCCATAAAACAAAACGAGAATCTTTACACGGTACTAAATTATAACCACCAAATCCACAGCAGGCCATTTAGGTTTTCAAAAATAAATTTAAAAAAAATAAAAGTAATAATAATAATAATAATAATAAAAAGGGGGGGGTGCTATTTAAATTCACCAAAATTAGTCCATCATATTTCATTTCTTTAAAAAATAAAAATGAAGAGCATTTCAAGCTGGATTTGCACAAACAGCGCCAAAAACTTGTTCGTAAAGATAGTTCATCAAGGTGGTCGTGTCGAACTATTCGACCGGCCCATTACGGCGGCCGACGTGCTCCAACGGAACCCCAAGTGTTGTGTGGCCCACCCCACCATTTTCGACCGGCCCCACGACATTGTTCCGCCCACCACAACCCTTGCGTTCGGTCAGAAATACTATGTTGTGCCCGTTAGTACAATCAAGAAACTCCAGCTCAAGTCGAATTATGATCGCAGACGAAAGACTACTAGGAATAAAGATGACGGCGACTCGAACCGCAAGAAAATGGAGTCTTTAAATTGTTGGTTGGTTCGAAATGATAACGACAGGAAGAATGGTGGGACGAGAGTTTCGCTTACTTCGTGCGATCAGTGGCGACCGGGTTTGGAAAGTATTAGAGAAGAATAACATTTTCAAGGATGATATATGTAACTTTTTTTGCTATTTTTGTTTAGCTAAGTTATCATTTTAGTTATTTTAGATAAATCAAAGGGTAAATTATGAAAAAGCCCCTGAACTTAGGCTAAATAACGAAAAACATCCCAACTTATCTGTAATAACCGAAATCCTCATCTAGTTAACTTTTGATCGAGTTTTTTAACAGAAAATGTGTACAGTCTATTATATCTTTTGTTAAATAGGTGAGAAATAAAAGAACATATCTGAAATTGTGTAAATTCTATTCCCCGGAATAAAAAAAAAAAAATCCGTGAAAAGTCACACAGTAAGGGGTTGGTGTAAGATGGAAACAAACTTCAAGAGTTTTTTTGGTAATTACGAATAAGTTGAGGTATTTTTCGTTATTTATCCTAAGTTCAGGGGGTTTTCGTAATTTACCCTAAATCAAATCATGGAATTAATATGTTGATTGAAGGAGAAATTCAGCTCTGAATATATGCAATTAAGAAATAAGTGCTTTTGGGGCCAAAGTATGAGCTTTTTTGGGCTTTAAAGCAGATAATGCTGTCATGTTGGCCCACTCTTATCGGTTCTTAAGGCCCAAGAATTATTTGTCATTTATATTTTGGACTTTTGGTCAATGTATTAAAGAGAAGGGGCTGTCTAATGTATTAAAGAGAAGGGGCTGTCTAGGGTCCGAGAGGGCTGTACTTCTCGAACCATAATCAACCAATAAAATTTTTCCACATAGAAAAAGTACGAAGCCCCAGAAAAAAGTATGATACATGAAATATACGTGAAATTACATAAAACTCCTTCTAATGAAAAATTAAAAAAATAATTGTTTTAAAATGAAATAATAATCTTCCATTTCAATCTAGCAAAAATTGTAAGCCCTAATATTAATTTTTCTTGGTCATCAACGTTTTCCACCCTTGTTCAACACCATCAAATATCAATCATTACCTCCGGCCAACATCGTCTCTTCTATAATCATCTATTATTTTCACTGTCTCTGGAGATAATAAATAATAACCTAATTGTCAGATTAACTTCTTCATTCATTGATGTTTTTGCGTTCATCCACTCTATGCCTTTTCTCGTTCTCATCGTCTCTTTTTCCGCCGATGATTAATCCTCATTTATTCTCCTTTTCCTTCGATGATTAAGCCTCATTTATTCTCTTTTTCCTCCGATGATTATACATATACTTTGAAAACGTGGGTGGATCAATGCTCAAGGCTGTGCTGCTCAACATGAGGATCCATGGTCGTATCATTTTTATTTTTTTATTAATCTCGTCCAAAGCGCGTATGAATGCAGGGATTTGAAAGTGGCCCTTATACATATGTCTTTTTTCTGGGAAAATATAGGCAAGCAGATTATTTGTGTAGCTAATGAATAAAAACTAGGATATGCATGGTTCGTCGGAACGGAACAGTGCATTGTCGCGGACACTGCCGTTCCAGTTCCGTTGCAACGTCGCAGCTGCGTCGCGGCCGGAACGGACACATTTTAATTAAATTGTTAAAAAATTACAATATATTCCAAATATGTTTTTAATAACAATATTACAATTCAATAATATGGAAAATATTATTATAATTTAAAAAATAAATATTACAAAGAATATTATGAAAATATAAGCAATATATTAACCAAGTATAATAGCGAGCTGGAATTGTGTAAGATATAATTGAAGAGTGAGGCCAAAGATCTGTGATTTCGGGGAATCTTCATTATCTAACTTGGCCACCACCATCATATTATTTATTTATTTTTTCTTTTATGTTTTTTTTTCCTTAAATTTGTTTTGTTTTTTTTTTTCAAATTCTTTTTCCCTGTTCCGGCACCGTTCCGGTGTCGTTCCGGCCGCATCGGGGCCGTTCTGTGGCTCCGTCTCGCCCATCCCACCGATTTCTCAGCGTTCCAACGAGTCACCGTGCAAACACCGTTCTGGTTACGGATTCCGGAACGGAGGGCACCATTCCCGTTCCGGAACGGCCGTTCCGACCGTTCCGGCGAACCATGAGGATATGAGATATTGTCCACTTTTGTACTGTTGAAGGCTCCATCTCTGTTATTTTATGTGTCCGTAAAAAAGATAAAAAAAATAATAAATAAAAAGAAGAAGAAATTTTCTATGCTATTTAGTGCGAATGTGTCACATAGTCCTGCTACAGCGTATAGTGTTATATTCATTAGAAGTTAATATTTTCTATGCTATTTGGAAGCTTGAAAAGAAAAATGCTTGCAAGGTTCAATTTACAACAAAAATTGCGCAAATTAGCAAATTAGTGTTACGAAAAATTGTAAGAGGACATAGACTGAAAGATTGAATTTGAACAAGTATGCAACAAATTATTCTCTCTTTTTTTTTTTTTTTTTTTCTGGAAAAATGTTCCACATCAAATTACTGGCTGTAGGTAACTAAACCAGAGGAGAGTGAGATCACAAGGATAATAGATTTTATAGACTTAATAGCAAAGAAAACGTGCTACTCATTATCTTTATAGAAGATAGTGAGATCATTGACTTATGTGGTGTAATTCATAAAACTGAGAAGTGGTGTGGAGAGATGAACATCAATTCTTACTACACGTTTCTTCTTCTTCAAATCAACAAAATAAAAATTTATTTAGAAATCAATAGCAAATCAATCAAATAAATTTCAATTAGAAATCAGTAAATTTAAAATATATTACTCCTCCATCATCAATTTGAGGTGAGGAGAAGATGGTCTGCCTCTACGCCACCAGAAATCGAATCAATGGATAAAAATTTGGGGTACGGTGAATCGTTAATTCTTGTGCGTGTGATGTGCGGAAGAGGGATGTAAATTATATTTTTTTATGATAAAGTTTGACAATTATCGATTCTTTTAATTTATTTTTTTAGTTAATTATGAAGGGTAGTAAAGTAATTTAAATCAAGTACGATGTGTGTACGATCTGTTTTTACTAGATCGTACTTTAATTTATTAATTTTCAGGGTTGTACTAGGTTGTACTCAGATCGTACTCAAGATCAACGGCTATAATTATTTAGATAATATATTCTACGCACTAGATTCAATCGTTTATGGTCCGAGAAGTACAACCCTCTCGGACCCTAGACAACCCCAACTTTTATAGCCACGTAGGGTGGAAATCGGAGGAATCGGATCGGAAATAGCCCTTTCGGAAAATATCCGATTTTTTTCGGAACTGTTATATAGGATCCGATTCCGATTCCGATTTTTTTGGAATTAAAGAACTGATTCCGATTCCGATTTTTTCGGAAATTTTTTCGGAAATTTTCGGAAATCTTCGGAATATTCGGAATTCGTAAATCGAGAACTAAAGACAGAACCCCCAAAGCTGTACAAAAAATTGAAAAAAAACGAAAAAAAATCGAAGCAAGATCTACGATTCATATGTAAAAAACAAACAGTTTATATGATTTAAATTATATAAATCATTTCTGAAATAATTAAAAAAACACAAGATTTGCAGCGAAGTAGAGAAATTGATGGAGGAGAAAGTCGAGATCTGTAGCTTCGCAAGGATCGGAGAAGAAGAAAAATAGAACGGACCGGAAATTAGATAAGTGGAGAGCTGCAGCTTCGGATGGAGAAAGTCAAGATGCGCCGATTCGAAAGGAGAAGAAGAGAGCGTCAGCTTCGTAAGGATGGAGAAGAAGAAATGGCAAACTAAGAAGATGGAAAGTAGAAAAAGAGAGAGAGAGTTCATTAGGAAAGAGGCGGTGCTGCGGCGCTGATTTGAGGATAACAGTTAGGGTTTGAAGGTTTTATAAATAATAAATAATTAAATAATTAAGTAAGATATATATTATATTAATATATAATTAATAAATATTAATAATATTCGGAAAATATTGGAAATAAATCGGAAATATGTCGGAAATAATCGGAAATATATCGGAACTATTTCGGATCGGAATTCCGAAATTCCGAAATTTTGATATGTATTTCCGATTCCGATCCGATTTATTTCGGAAATTTCGGAAATCGGAATTTTGGAATTCGGAAGTGAAAAAATCGTTCCAAAATCGGAATTATTCGGATCGGATTCGGCGGAAATCGGAAATTTCGTTCCGATTTCCACCCCTAGCCACGTCTAAATGTTCAAGTAATTAGAAGAACAAGTATGTTTTCAGAACCACACCGGCTATGGAACCGGACGTCTGTATGGTCATGGTTCTATACGGTTGAACCGGTTCAATCAGGTTTTTTTATTTTTTTTATTTTTTTATTAATTTTAATGTTTTAAAAAAAATACTAATTTCTTTATATTTTTAATCCCCTACATATTATTTCTCTTTTATCTGCCTCATCCCATTTTTTACTCTTTTGCTTACACTTTATATTTTTTCATTATTTATTCTCCAAATTCGGCAATCGTCCACCCCTATTTTCCGACCAAGCAATCTGCCACCCCTCTTCAACCACCCATGACTAGGTTTGGCAACCCACAACTAAGTCCGTGAAGGTTCGCTCGAATCTAGCCATTAATAACCAACTCCGCGGCGGTTTAAGTTGTTTTGGCCGAAAATGGGTTCTTTGAACGGTTCGCTGGTTGCAGGTCGAACCGAATTATCGTCATTTTGAACCCAATTTTCAATTTGTTCGGTCTTAGAGGTCAGAATAGACCGCCTCATCGCCAGGTCATGGTCGAACCGTTCCGACCGACCAATCCGGTCCGGTTCTAACAACTTTGGGAACAACAACTGCCCCATTATTCATTACAAACAAATATTATTGTTTAAGAAAAAAACAATCAAAACACTCCATACTCGATTATAAATTAAACATGAAAAGCTTATTTTAGGTCGGTACATTAACACTAGGGTTGGGCATGGGTCGGGTCGGGTAATTATCGGTCAATTAC